TAAAAAAAACAGTGTGCAATTTTTGAGCTTGATCAAAATCTATTAAGATAGGAACCGGGCTCAGAACTTATCTTTTAGAAACTGGGCTCAGAATTTATTTTTAATGAACTGGGCTCAGAACTTATTTTTTTGTGGACGCCCAAAAAGAAGACGAAGAAAGATACGATTTTATAACAGTATGAATTAAATAAGAATGTTTTGGCCATGCCGGCTTTAAGTATTAAGCGCGTGCTTTAAATGGGTCGAAACCATTGTCGCTTTACCGATTGTTTGATTTTGTGGGTGATAATTGGTGGTCGACCATTGAAAATGATGTCCGCTCAAAATGTTTTCCGCTCAAAATGATGTCCCACAAATAATCATCGGACTGGGTCTAGTGATATATCATATTAAAGCCCTTTCAGTCGCCATTCGAACTACATTAAAACGATGTCTCAGTGTCTAGAAAAAAAAACGGTTTTAGTCTCTCCAGCTTCAAGCCATTTTTACAAATGCCTTGTGTTCGGGTACCAGACCCTTTTTCTGCAATCATTAGACTCATTTTTTTTTCTGCATGTAATTAGGTTTTTTTCGGTGTTCGTCTGAATGGCTAAGGTACCATTTTGTTTTTTTTTCTGTTTTACGCTTGCGATTAGCCAGCGTTATCAAACTGGATTTTAGGCTTTTCTAGTTAACAACTAGTTAAGCAAAATCAGTTGAGTCACTTGCTGAGCAGCTAACTTCTTTTCTATGCAGCTCTTTTCGCTTAATTTATGCTCTCTTCTATTAAAAATCCAGGTTGCTCTCCCTTCGGCCTGGAGGTAAATCAGTTGCCTTTGTAAGCTTAGGTCTGGGGTTCGAGTCGTGGCAGGATCTTGTTTTTTTTCAGTATCAAGGAAATTGAAAAAAAATTCCGAGAAAAATTAATTGTTGGTTTTCCGTTTGTTCGCTCGAATTTTGTCGGCTAAATTGCAACAACGGATTTTGCTTGCGCTGTAGACAATATTCATTGCAGTTGCAAGTGTTGTTCATTCTAATTTCAGGAGGGGACTTAGAAGATTTCAAAACTGTTTTTCATAAATTCTTTTTTTTTCTTTGGTTCTGTTGGTGCTCAAAAGATTGTCGGCATAATTACCGTGTCACTGATTTTTCTTGAGCTGTAAACAACTTTCATTGTAGTTGCAAGTGCAAGTGTTGTCCGTCGTTGCTTAGGTGGGAATTTAAACTTTTTCTTATAAACTTGTTTTTTCGGCTCAACTTATGTCTGCTCAAAGATTGTCGGCTTTATTGCTTTTCATAAATTTTGTTCCGTTTTTGCTGTCTTAAAGTTCAAGTTTCTGGCATGTTTGCCAGGAATGATTTTCTATCGAGATATATGAAATTTTATATGATCTATTTTTTTTGCAAAAATTCTCTTTTCGGTTTTTTATGTGTTTTTTTTTCCAAATGTTTGTGTTGTATCGCAAGTGGTGCGAAGCTCCGATTCGCCTCTGTGTTTAGTCTATAATTCTATGCGACATAACTACTAGGTTTAGGTTTTGATCTTTGTATGAATAACAAATGGGACTTCGAAGTCAATTTTATTGATGCTTTTTTGATTTTCTGGTTTGCGTCGGAGGCTCTGTCAGCTTTGAATAGTATTTATTGGACTGATTCAGCGCGGGGACAAGAAACTCCCATGTATTAAAAAAAGCTATAGACTATCCTGTTTCCACCCTATTTTTAAGCTGGGGAATAGATTTTTCTGGTATTAAGATAGGTTCCGGAGTTTAAGATTGCAAGTTTTGTTGGCGCCCGAGCTTACCTTGTTTTAAGACAGTGTATAAATTTCCCCGTGTGTGAAGATAAGTAATAGCAATTCAATGTATTAAAGTCAGATATGGAGTCTGTAATGTATTAAAATAAAAAGTTTCAGTATCATGGTAAGAAAAAGGTAAGAATTAAGGTTTTCAGAAACCTTAATTTTTTGGCATATTTTTGGTCGATTCTTATCTAAATGTAAAATATCAATGATATTTTACGTGTATATTGGTAAATGACACTTAAGTTCTATATTAGTTAGTATTATGTTAAGATAAAAAACAAGTTGTTATGGTTTTTGCCTTAATATTGATTTTTCTTGTTCCTCAAAAATTTAAATTACGCTAAGATTTGATCTAATTTGAGCTTTGACTTGTTTTTTAAAGAGATCTAACTATGAAAATCAATGAATAAATTTGCTAAAACTATGCTGAAATGTAACTGAAACTTCCGAAAATTGTGAAAACAACCATACTTTTTGGTTTAGTTTTCTTTTTTGTATAAATTTGGGTTAATCTTTGACAAAAGTTCGAAGTGAAATCTATTAATTATTCTTTTTCAAGTAATTAAACGAATATTTCTTTAGTTGATTGTTTGAATTGAGGTTGTTCATTATGTCTAACTTTATTTGAATAGAAAGTCAGGTCAGTGTACATATAAATGGTGTAATGTCGAGAGTTTGGGACAGATCTTGAGTCCTATACAAATAATTTTTTTTTCTTTAAATTTTGAATTTTTTTTGTTGTTTTTACAAATTTTTGAGTACCCGGAGGTTTCAGCTAAGTTTTAGCACAGTTTTAGCTAATATATTTGTTGCTTTGATAGTTAGATCAATTTCTAAATCACTTCTTAGCTCAATTTAAATCGTAATTTGAGTTGTTGAGGGGGAAAAATCAGTTTTTAAGGCAAAAATCTCAACAACTTGTTTCATTGTCTTAACATGGCGCCAAATAATATACACTTTGAGTTTCTTTTAACAATTCACACGTAAAATATCCTTGATATTTATATATAGATAAGAATCGATCAATAATGTGCCAAAAAAATTAAGGTTGCTGAAAATTAAGGTTCCCCCCCGCGCCGCGCTGAATCAATCCAAAATATGCTACTGCTTTAACTTTCGAATGATTGCGTGTGATAGTTTAAATACGTATGTAGGAGCAAAACAAAACATCTTAATTTTTCTATGTTTTGAATGAATTCTTTTTTTTTGGTTTCAGCTTCGTTTTATTCTTCCATTCGACAGGCCATTATTTTGTCATCTGATGAAAAATGCTGGTTCATCAAAGTACACGTCTGTATATCATTGAAGGTTCCATTAACAATCAATTACGACATTAAATAGTTCAATGTGTTTTTTTTATAGTTATATTTGTTTCGAAGCTTGATTTTCTGCCTAATTGACATTGTACTATTCTTCTGCCAATCTTTTTGAATGACATAGCGCTGTTAGCGAAGTCTGAAGAGTTTAAATAGTAATTAGTTACAAAGAAATGGTTAATTTTTTTCATTTCTCAAATTGAAATTTTAAAAGATTTTTGGCATTGTTTGCTTTGAGTCAAAATTGGCGTCTTCTGAATATAGATAGCTGTTTTTGAAGATTTTGTATTTTTAGTCTGTTGATTTATGGTCCTTGCTGGCCAGAAAAGAGATTTTTTTAGTGCATTTTTTCTCATCCATATCTTTCCCGCTGTTGATATGTGGCAAAATTAGTTCACAGAATGGTCAAAATTAGAAATGGTAAATTTTGGTTCAGATCAAAAAGAGTTCAATTTTTTTTGCGTTTTCGGCACACGTGGTCTGGAGGTAACGAATACGCCGGAACGGCAAAGGTCCTCGGTTCGGGTCTAAGATGACTTGTTTTCTTTTCAAACGCGAAAGATTCAAAAAATGTCGGCTCATGTTTTGTCGGCTTAGTTGCCACATCATAGAATTGTTATTTCTGCTATATGCTATTTACATTGTATTTGCTTTTAGTGGTTTGAGTCACTTCTGCTGCTTGCAATTTCACTAACCTTGACTGGTATATTTTCTTGTTAAGAGTCGATGAACTTCTTAAAACTTGTTTAGGCTCAAATTCACATCTTGCGGTTTGATTTTTGATTTTTTTAAGGTTCAGTTCATTTCCTGTGTTAAAACGAAGGCAAACTCCGCTATCGAACTTCAAAAGTGTAAAGGTCACAAAAAACTTGATCAACTTCTAGTTTCGAAAGTGTAATTTAATTTTCAGATTCCCCATGAAACAAAAATTTTACTTTTCGATCCAGGTTTCTCAAATTAGGTCAATGTTTTTTTTTCTGTTTAATTGCGTTCATTGGCTCTTTTCGAACTGTCTGTTGGCTATTTTTTTTTTCGCTTTAAATTTTTATTCTGCCTTAATGATTTTGGCTTATGTTTTATCGGCTTAGTGACCTTATATTGCGTCGTTTGATGACCGAAGAAATTGTTCGTGTGCGTGTGTTAGTTTTTTGAGTGGAGGGGACTCGAACGTTTTTTGTCAGTTTTTTGTCTTTTTCGGCTGAAACGGTTTCTACTTAGGTACTTTCGGCTTTTTTACCGCTTGTAAGTTTTCTTCCGATGCTAATTTCACAATCTTTTGGCAATGCAAGTTTTTTTTTCAAAACTAGCTCTATACCTTTTGATACATTTAGCGTTTGGTAATTTTTTTGATTCTTGATTTTTTTTCCCGATTTATCGCCAGTGGTGCGTAGCTCCGCTTCGTCTCTGTGTTTATATTTTTTGGGCATTTTGTTTGTTCCCTTCATCTTTTGGTCGAGAGTTTGTTTCATTAAGGGCTTGATGTGCTAAGTGTGTTTGGACTTGACCGTTTTTTAAATTCAAAGGGGAAAATGAAAGAAGTTTTTGCCATTTTTTACCCTTGACGATTACTTCTACCAGTGATAATTCGGCGACAGTGACGCGAACCTCATCTTAGGCTTTGTTAAATAGCCTCGTTGGAAACCAGTAGAGAAATTTCAGTTTTTTTCTGACCACAACTGATCAACTTCAAAACTCTTTAGCAATTAGACAAAGAGTCCTTAATTTTCCTTAAAAAACGGTACAATTTAGTTCAAGTGCATCGAGATTTTAATTTCATAGTTTTAATGCGTATATCTATATATTGTCTTTCAAAACAGAAAATTATTAAGTAGTGTCAATCAATCTCGGATCTATTCAATTTTGGAAATGACAATTGATTTCTAAGATTTTGATATTCTCAGAAAGTGAAGATAAAGGCACCGGAGAAAGTGGTCGGGATGTGGAAAACGGCCAAACGGGTAACCCGAGTAGATCAGTTCCAAATATCAGACAGAGTGAACAACCAGGACGGCAGTCGTACCAGAGGGATCCACCACCGCCATATCCTACCGAAAGTCCAAAGCGAAAAAGTGGTCCATGTGGTCCCAAGGCCGACAAAAATGGAAGGCGTGATCTGTTCAACAGTGATTTCAACGAAAGGAAAGTTCGACAGAAGTTTGTACAGAAGGTATATTTGACTCTAACATGGCAATTGTTGCTGACTTCTGGGATCGTATGTCTGTTCAAGTTCGTGAAACCGATCAACGATTTCTTCGTGGAGTACTGGTGGATGATGTATATCTTTCTGGCATGTTGGATTGTGTTCTACCTGGTGTTAATGTGTGCCAAGAACATCAGACGCAAATTTCCGACAAATTTGATTCTTTTGATCTTCTTCACGCTCATATTTGGGGCGTTTCTGGGCGTGATCACTTGTGGTTATGACACGTTTATTGTGTTAATTGCTCTTGGTATAACAGTGGGGGTGGTGGTATGCGTTTCACTGTTTGCGTGTCAGACCAAAGCGGACTTCACTTCTTGGATTGGAGTCATGTTCGTGATACTGATAGTGTTCTCGGTGTTCGGAATTTTAATGATCTTCTTCTACAACCGATGGCTCACTCTTGTTTATGGAGTGATAGGAGCTGTGATTTTCACAGTTTATCTGGCCATAGATACTCAGATGGTCATTGGTGGGAAACGATACGAGTTACATGAAGAGGATTGGGTGCAAGGAGCTATAATTCTGTACATGGATATATGCTACATATTCATGTTCATTTTGATGGCTAGTGGAGCTATTAAAGGCTGATTAATCAAGAAGGCATGACTTATTGTATGTAGCTGAGTTAATAGTTAAGTATAAAAAATCCATATTGCAGTTAATTGTAGTTAAACATAATCACCGTGCTTAACCATGTCCGAAAAGAGAAAATCAAAACTTAGTTTGTTCGCTATATTTTAGAGGAGTAGAACAGAAGAAGCGCTGTTAAAATATCAGGCCGCTTGGAAAAAGCTGGCTTTTCGTGGCGGTTCAATAGATTTGGTGTGTGAGTTTCAGATTGAAGTTGTTACTTGATCAAAAAAATGCCGACAAAAAAGGTAGTGAAAAAGCAGGAGGAGCCTGTTTTCCTGGGACCCCAGGTGGCCGAGGGTGAGAACGTGTTCGGAGTAGCTCACATATTTGCCAGTTTCAATGACACGTTCGTCCACGTGACCGACATGTCTGGTCGGGAGACGTTCGCTCGGGTGACGGGAGGAATGAAAGTCAAAGCTGACAGAGATGAAGCGTCACCATACGCTGCTATGTTGGCAGCCCAAGACGTAGCGGTCATGATCAAAGAGAGAGGTATTACAGCAGTTCACGTGAAGATTAGGGCTACTGGTGGTGTCAGGACGAAGACACCTGGACCAGGGGCCCAAAGTGCTCTAAGAGCTCTCGCCAGATCCGGTATCAAAATCGGAAGAATTGGTCAGTTTTTAATTGCAATTGTATTTATACTGTATTTGTGTGCAGGTTTTTTGGTCCATATAAAAAATTCAAAATAGTTTATGGCATATGCAAGATAAAAAATTTAACCTGATCAGATTTTTTTCCTGAAAATTATGAGAATTATTTTGTTGATTTTTCTGCGAAGTCGGTATTGCACTTTTTTCATAGCAATATATTAAAAAGGTATTTAGCGCTTGAAGATGTTCACCGACTACAAATTCGAAAAAGCTACCTCAGGAAAAGTTGCCGTGTATTTTAAAATAAGGCAAATATAAGAAGTGCTTGGTGGTCATTCTTAAATGTTTAAATTTACAAAGCTGCTTTTGAGGTTAACGAGCTGTTGTTTGTTTGTTTGCAGAGGATGTCACACCTATCCCCACTGATTCTACCAGGAGAAAGAATGGACGAAGAGGACGACGACTGTAATGCAACAGACGGCTGTAGTCAAAGAGTTGAACTGAAACCAATGATTTATTGTCTTGTCGTTTATTCTAAGTCAATTGCATTGCTAAGTCAATTCAATCTCTCCTGACACTTTTTTATTTATTGAGTTTTCTACATAGTGACTGATTACCCTTGCGATAAACAAGGGTTTTGCAATCGGGTACTAGACTTCCCCCTTAATAAATTTGTTCATACTCGACTCATTCACCTCTTGTTCCTCTCTGTTGCAAATACTGTGCAAGTTATTGGACATGTTGTTATTTTAAATACCCGTCCTTTTTGAAATTTGCTCTGTTTGATATTGGTTGAAATTTTAACAACTCGATTTGTTAAAAACACTTTTTGTCCTCTTCTCCAGCTTAATAGGTTGCTGTCTATTTTATATCTGCTTATGGCCTCATTGCGCTGTTTGATAAGAAAAAAGTTTTATGTGGCCGAGTTTGTGTGTTTTGGGGGGACTTGAAATATTTAAATTGGTTTCAATTTTTTTTGACGACATGAAGTGTTTCTGCTCGTGTGTTTTCGGCTTTGTTACCGCCTGGTAAATGTTCTTCCAATGCTTAATTCCCATTCTTTTGTCTGGGCTTGTTTTTTCCAAAACTTTTCTCATTTTGATAGGTCTAGTTGCATGTATAATTGTAGATTTTCGATAGTTTTTTGCTGATAGTTTTTCGGCTTTATGATTGTCGATTAGGCTCTCGGTTTAGTTTCCGAATTGTGTATACCACCTTTCATTCAGTACGTATATGGCCTTCGTGGATACTATGCGGGTAGTAACTGTTTCTTTTTGCAAGTAGATTGGCGAAATAATTCGGTTGAATTTCAGGTCATTGGCTGACGGCATAAATGCCACTGGCTTATTTACCTAATATTTTGTTTCCTACACATTTTGATAATATACATTGAAATCAATAAAAATAATTTTGATAAATTCAAACATAGTAAATGTTTTTCCGGTTTTCTGTTTGTTTTTTCAAGGATAACATCGTTCCAAGTCATCTTTGCTGGTTGTTGAGAGTCATGCTGTTGTAACTCTGTAATTGTATTGTCGTAAAGTTGCGAAGCGCAGCTTTGCCTCTATGTCTAAGATGCTGTCACGGAAAAAAATTGTTCCGTGACAAACAATTGTGAGTCCATAATTTTCAACTCTCCCTGGGCAGCATATAAGGATCAGGCCATTTAACGCCTACAAAACACTGTCTGGGCCTAATTATTTTGTTGTCAAAAACTTATAGCTAATTTAAAACAATAATATTAATTAATATAATTAAGTGTAAAGAACTAATTCCGTAACAAACTCTGATCGAATCTTCTCAATACGGAAAAATTCACTATAAAAAATGGAAACTTGTGAGAGTTAAGCCAAAGTTATGAAAAGACATTGATTTTTGTGCAGCAAGATTGATTGCGGGACAAAACTGACTTTTTTCTGGCAAATAACTTTATTCACATCATGACTGACAAGCAACAGACATACTATGAGTATATGTCTGCATTTAAATTGCCTCTTCTATTCGAAATGTTGTCTATGTTGGTTGTGAAATTAGCAACTCGGTTTCGGTAGATCATTTTTTTTAAAGATTTTTTTGTTTACATTATATGTCGTGTTTTGACCTCATTTTGGGTCGCTCAATGAGAGAAAAAAAGAAATTAAAAAGAAATGTTTCAAAATCAGCAAAACACGTTTTTAGTTAAAGTTTTCAGGGCTGACTTAATTTTTTTCAAGGTTTTTGAAAAAAATTTGTTTTTGGCTCAATCGGTGTCTGCTCTAGAGCTATCCGATTTGCACTTTTGCAAGTTTTGTTGCGATGATTATACAACATTCACTTGCATTACTCGGCATGTTTGTCTTGAAATGATCCTTGTAATCAGGAACAAGACTTTTGTTCCCTTAAACAACTTTGTTCACAGTTGGTTAATTATGCATGGCAGTGTACGACCGCTTTGTTAATTAATAGCATGGCTACTGTGTTGGACTTGTGTTTAAGTTAGTAGTTGCCTATTGTCTTTGAAAATTTTTAGTAGATTTTCTTCACTGAGGTCGTCCGGCTATATTTCTGTCGGCTTTTTTTCCTTTTAAAATTAGTGTTTTTGTTTTTTAACGATTGAGCTCTAACGAGAAATTTTTGAAGTTTGTAAACCAACCTCTTAAGCCATATGTATTACAAAAAGAAAAATTTCACAAAAGTTTTTTAAAGTAAATTTTCGGCTTTTTAGTTCGTTTATTAAAATAAATTCACTTTGAATCAATTACAAAGCGCGTCTGGCGTAGAGGTAAGACATGCTGAAAGACGAATAAGACGTGTGGTTCGAATTCATCGGAACCTGTGTTTTTTTTTTTCAAACCATTATTTTCTGCTTTTTCGGGCAATCATCCGCCTCTTTTTTTTCGACTTAGTTGACGTTGCACAGACACGTTTTTAAGATCCAGCTTTCTTCTAGTTTTCTGAAAGCCAAAGGTATTTTTTTTAAAATTTCATCAAAAAGTTAAATTGACCATGAATGAGCACGGAATGTTTACGCTTGCGATTTTTTTTTAGCAATCAGCCTTGTTGGGTTGTGACCTCTAGGCAATTTGTGTTAATCGTCTTTTCTACCTAATGTTTTGTTTCCTACGATTTTTAGGTTTTATTTTAAAGATCAATAAGACTCTGGCTTCATTATTTTGAATGGTCAGAATCAACACCACAAGGTTGTCTGGAAAAACATAAATTAAATCAGGAAAAAAATATAAATTTGATCATTTTTTCATTGTCACGCTGTCTTAATCCTATACTTGTTGTATTGCAATTGGTGCGAAGCTCAGCCTCGGTTCTCCTCTCCTCGTTTTTTTATCCGTTTTACCATTGTGGCCGGGTTGGACATCCGGAAAGACTTTAAGCAATGGTTCAAATGAGGGCATTCTGAATAGCGTTCACTCAATTAAATGGAGGATGACATGTTTTTCCATGCCATTAGATCAAGACAGTCTGTGGATTTGAGGCCTAAAGCATTCAGGTCTCGCTTAACACTGTCGATCTAGCGTTTTTCGGCCGTCCTGCTAGTCTTTTCCCTGGGACTGAAACATGGTCTGTTCATTTAAGCCCATGGTCATTCTCTTTTCGGTGAACGTGGCCATACCATCGTAGTCGCAACCGCCCTTGTAGCTTGTGCAGATCAACAAGATCTGTCATTTTAATTACTGTTACGTTAGTAACTCCGGTAATCCTACGCAGAGCTTTCATAGCAGCACTCTTAAGAGAGCTGGATATTGTCTTGTTCTGCGCCCAGGCTTCAGAGCAGTACATCAGAACTAGCCGGAGATAAGCTCCGTAGATATGATACCTTGTAATCAAGTCAATATCTTAATTCAGCACCAGAGGGCACGTTTTGCTGCCATTTCGTTCAGAAAGCTGCTCTTCTGACCGGTGATGCAACTATTGCGTCACTTTCAACGGAAATCATATCACACAGATAGCAGAACTCTTTGACAGTACTCATGGTCTCAAATTGATTAATCAGCACAGTAGCATTTAAGTTTGAGTGATAATTGGAAGGATTTGCATCCTGGATTTTTTTATGCACCCATTGATTACAAGAATTGCAGTGTACTGGATTGGCGCCGACTCCCTTGTAACTACAAGCGCATGGATGTTTTCCGGTTTTTGAGGAATAGACTTCTCAATAGACTGGGAATCCGTTTCAGCGGATATCACAATGTCATCTGCATATAGCATATTCCATGGTGACATGGAATGACAGTTTATCGTAGCCTCTTCGTTTACTGTTATAAATAACAATAGCTGAGTGCCGATCCTTGATGAACGCTTACTTTTATTTCGAAGTTATCACTGCATCCTTGCGGGCGGCGAACTCTGGTTTTCGAAATGGCAGATTGTTAGTCTTATTAGACTTTCGGGAACTCTCTGCTGCCTCAGAGCCCATGGTTTCAGTTCCCTTGGAACAATCGAAGGCTTTTTCTAGATCAGCAAATATATGATGTCGGGGCAATATATGATGTAGGTTTTCTTATCCGCAAACATTTTCTTGAATTTTTTAATTAGAAAAACGGCATCGGTAGTTGATCTATCACCCATAAAGCCAAATTGCATTTCATCTCCTTTTATTATTTGTCTCAGACGTTTTTCTAGTACTTTTTCGAAAATAAGATACGTGTGTTTCAGTAATCGGATGCCTCTTTAGGATCACATACTAACGGATCGCCTTTTCTTTTGTAAAAAGTAACGGTTTCGAAGGGGCTTAGACCAGAGTCCCAGACTACCTTAGAGACTTCAAAAAGTCCAGCAAGTCCACAATCCATGGTAAGTTTTATAATGTCTGAAGTTAGCCCTGTTGGTCCTGGGCCTTTTTTCTTTTTCATCTCTCTCAATGGAAGTACCACTTCCCGGATAGTTAATTTCTCCAGTGGGCCAGCCATTGGAGGGATATATTTTGGTATAAATGGATTTATTTCATTTAAAAGATTTGAGAAGTAGCTCTGCCACTGCGAGAGAACATCTCGGTCACAAGTCAGGAGTTATACATTTATTGAATTTTGTCCAACCAAATCCTTTTGATTCATTTTCATTTGCTTGGCACGGCAAAACATTTAATGCCCTGTCTCCGTTTTAGACAGTTCTTGTTAACATTTCTGACTGGATTCTCTTTTAGCTTCAGCAGCTGGCTGCTTCACGACTGTTTTCTGCTTGCGATATATCACCCAGTCTTTCTCATTTCCAGACTTCTGCCACTTTTTGAACAAAATATTTTCTTAATTCCTTCGCCTGTTTTTTTTTTGTTCCTCCACCATGTTAACTCTGTCTCGCTGGTTTTCCGATTGTTTCGCCACGTACGGTTTTCGCTTTTTCTAGAAGTGTTGGTTCAAAATATTCCCAGTTGGCCTTTATTTTATTATTTTCCAGCTTTTTTCTTATTGCCTTCTCGTACTTGATTTGTTTTTCTATTTCATTTAATTTTTACGATTTTTTTATTCCAACTGGTTTTGACTAATTGCGACAAATGGGACAGAAATTACTACAGAAGACAGAAAACTAAAGGCAGAAATCACACACAACAAGTCTGTGCTTAGTATCGCATTCTGCAGTCTGTGC